ATTACAAGTTACCCTATTTAAAATGTAATAGACATTTTCATAAGTAACTAATTTAATTAGGCTACACATTTTTTCTTAGTAACTGTAACTGATTACAGTTACATTTATTTGGTAAGAAATTACGTAACGCCGTTACATGTAACTACTCCCCAACACTGATCACAACGTGTCAACATAAGAGACCCCTAGTTTACAAATGATGGACTTGAGTTTTATATGCATGCATACTATGCAGTACCCACAGCCAACATCTGTCTTTATGTATTCTTGTGTTACGCAGTATTTATTTTATAAAACAGTTTTAGTTGTCTCAAGTATATGCTGATAATGTAGCTTTATAGGGACTGAAAGACAACTCAGTAATCAACTCGAAATTTTTTCCATTCATATAATATGATACACAGTAGCATCTGAAGTCCCATCTAATGTGAATGTAGATGACATTGAAAAAAAACTACACACCAAACATTTGTTAGGTACTTCTTTTTATTCCCTTCCAATAAGAATAGCCAAATGAATGAGGAATTCTCTTATTTTGCAATCAGGTCTCACACAGTAATGAGATGGATGAAAAGAGGTCAGTACAAATATCTTACGTTAAACAACCAGCCGAGAACTGAGTTGCTCTAAATATAAAAAGTATTGTACTATTCATTCCTGACTTGTCAACATCATAACAAAAGGTAAAAAATATGCCCCCAGGAGTAAATACAATTGTGATATTGCACAATAGTTTAAAGTACAGTATGTACAATTTCACATATAGTGGTCATGCTGCCGTTAAAACAAGTTGAATACACTAGCAGAATGCAATAATAACATGAGATACAGATGAGTAAATATATTATATTGTTTACACTTTCACTCGTATATTTACCCATAAACAATAAAATGTCAAAGCCTTCTTGAATTATTGTGATAAAAAAAATCTAGGCCTATATATACATTTAATAAAAAGGCCTATACATGTGCCATATGAGAGACAGCTGTGTTGAACAAATAATAAAAACTGTTTTTTTTCTTTCTTTTTTTTCTTTCTTTCTTTCTTTCTTTCTTTCTTTCTTTCTCTTTCTTTCTTTCTCTTTTTTTTTTTTACAAGAAACCTTGTCATTAAAAGAAATAAATCACATTCACAAAACATAAATTCAACATGTCTAAAGAATAATACTGTAAATGAAAAGGTGTCATATTATGACAATTAAAATGACCAAAGCTTTCTGTCTCCATTACAAAGAAACATTGAAGTACTTTTTTCTTCACAGATCTTGACAACAAAATCCAGGCTTCCTCTAATACACATTATAGATGAGACACAATGAAAGGCTAGGTCATCTACAAAATATCCTCATAAAAATATATTCATATATTTCATTTAGTGTGAACCTTAACAAACCTTACAATAATACAAAACAATGTTTAAATTTTCAATGTAAAAGAGGGATGAAGAATTTGATATTAGAATATAAAAGTGTGACTCATCAAGACTTTTTACATTCTCACGAATCCCTCATTATCCTCTCATTATCCTATTTTTTTAACAAAATTAACATGGTTATTGTCTGAGATGTGATTGTGAACACAGACCCTTCCAATCCTTTAACATTACACATAAAACCTTCCAAAAATTATATTAATCTAAGTTATAAGATGCATATCCACTGAAGGGGTGGATTCTTTTCGCAAAACCACATAAGAGAGCTGATTTGACAATGATCAAAATAACTCGACATCTCTATGAGATAATTATAATAAGCTTTCAGATCAGAGACTCAGAATTATTCCAAAACATGGCAAATGTGTCATAATGCTAAACCTAGATATTTATAACAAATAAATACATTACATATAAATCTGAGGTTGAGCAACATCAGCTTTCTAAAATCATTCTGTGAACCAGCCTCTTGAGAGAATGGATAATCTGTACGTAAATGACGTTTTATTTGACATTTTATTAAAAAAAGTCAAGTTTTTAACACGTCGAAAGTAATTTCACAAAATGCACAGTGCAATAAATTCTTAAAATGTTGTAGCATACATATAAAATGTTCCATTTCTGAACATTTCTATTTCGGAACACTTCTAAACTCATAAATGTTGTGTCTACTTTCTTCTCAGACAAATAAATTCAAACAGCCATTCAATTTGTTGGGATTCTCCTTTTACCTATTTAACCAAAGTAAATTCTCCAGACGGCTGGCTGAATCCTAAAGGCACCTTGAATTAAGTCATTCAGTTGGGTGTCAGTAGTCCCACCTTTTTCATCTGAAATGACAAACACTGATGATACATGTTTGCGTTTTCATCTGCCAAATAGATGCCACCATACCAATGCTTTACCACAGCCTGCATAAATGAATCACAGACAAGATGATCTCTCAAAATAACATCTTTATGCCATGATACATGCCTTCAGCAAAACAAATACTTAAGACTGAGAGGTGTTTGGCAAGGGACAATAATCTGAAGGCTTCCACAAGAAATAAATGAGCATAGCTGTGCAGAAGGCTACGAACAGAGTCGATTTGACATAATTCTTGGTGCATGCCTTGTTTTTCTTCCCTCGCTGATGATATACAATCTGATTTCATCTTAAAATTATATCTCTGTCATTGGTGCAATAAATTAAATAAAAATATTCATATAGAGCATTTAACAATTACAGTCTGTCTAAACATTTTCCACATGAGGATTTTTGTAAGATTAAGCAAAAGAACACGTGAAGAAAATTATTAAACTTACATTACAATTTTCCATAAAAGAGGATTTTGGCAAATAATTATGTTTCTGTAAAAAAAAAAACACATAGTGAAATGATTTATTAACATGTGATCCAGAGATTACACACTTAAAAGACTTCTGCCAAAACACAATAGAAAGAGACAAGCCAGTCACTATGTACAGGACAGTTTCTCAAACTGGTGATGAGCTTGATCCCAAAACATTAGTTCTGATACTCAAAAAAAGATTCGGAAAGAGTCTGTACACGCCCATTATATGAACCATTCTTTCTTGCTTTCGTCGATGGTCTCTGTGAAATTGGGCTCGGTGCCGATAATGGCCGCGTCGGCTGACTCTGACGACTCTCCCCCCTTGGCCTCGTTGGTGTGGTAGGTGCCTTTATGGCGGAACATGTACCGGATCAGAAACACCAGCGTGCACAGAATAGTGAAGATCACCACTGCTATGATACCTGCAAGGAAAATACATTCACCACTGTTAAAGGAATAGTTTTAAAGGAAAATTAGCTGAAAATGTACTCACCCTACAGCCATCCAAGATGTAGACGAGTTTGTTTCTTCATCGGAACAGATTTGGGGAAATTTAACATTGCATCACTTGCTTAACAATGGATCCTCTGCAGTGAATGGGTGCCGTCAGAATGAAAGTCCAAACAACTGATAAAAACATCACAATAATTTACAAGTAATCCATACAACTCCAGTCCAGTCAAAAGTTGCATGTTTGTAAAAAAAAAATCCATCAAGACATTTTTAATTTAAAACTTTTTAATGTCCCCTTGTTGTCCCCTCACATCAAAATCCACCGACATATTTTGTTTATAACTGTTTTGGACTGTTTTTGCTTGTAAACAGTGCATCTGTGCATATTTCTCTCCTAATTCAGACGAGATGACCTTTTCACTGGAGAAATCAATATGGATAGAAGACTCGGAAGCAATCTGGAAGCAAAGGTTTAAAGTTAAAAAGGTTTCAGTGATGGATTTGTTTCATTGCAAACAGCTTGTCACTTCATAAGATGTTAACTGATGGGTTGGAGTCATGTGGATTACTAGTGGATTATTGTGATGTTTTTATCAGCTGTTTGGACTCTCATTCTGACGGCACCCATTCACTGCA